TGTCAATTTCTTTTTGGGTAAGACCGCGTAATTCTAGAAATTATTATGTTAATTAGAGTATTTAGTAGTTTTTTTGAAATCAACATCAAAATAGTATAATATTGAGCGTATTTTATAGTTCGTGATAAGAAAACCCATGTTGATTTCAATGGCCATTTACTGTGAGCTTAAACTATTGTTTGATTATAAGCGTTCAAATAACATGTTGGTACGATAAAAAGTGCGAGTGTTCCTCACAGTTGATAAACCTATCGGTAATAAGCGACAATCCTTGATTTACTTAATTTTAGAATAATCACACAAATGTGAAGACTTATGAAACACAAGTTTTATTAATAAGAAAAATACGGCATACAAAATTGATATTTCTCGTTCGAATGCAATCAAATCGACTCTATGCGTGATTCTCTTCAGATTCTTTTAAGATTTCGGCGATGTAAGTATCACCTATTAGAGAAATTAAAAGAATATTTGAATCAGTAGTCAGTTTACCAGTAGAAATTGTAAGATCGCGTGGTGTTTTCATATCTTTATCTTTGGCATTCACGTTGGCACCGAGTTGAATGAAGAGTTTGGCCACGTTCACGTTATCTAAAATGCATTTTGCTTCAAAATAAAGATGATGTTTTTTCGAAGACATTTTCGATTCTACAAACAAGAAAACAAGTTGTTTCAAACAACAACAATTCCTTTCACAAACAAACGCCCGAACGTTGACAGCCGACAGAATGGGGTCATATTTTGAATTGAAACGCCCGTTTCATAAAATTCGGAATAGATTACATGATTCACTTTTGAATCATCTGCTTCTTAGGCTCATTCGCTTGTCAAAGTGTCCCTTTTAACATCAATAACAAATACAAAAGCATGATATGTAATTTTCTTTGTGTATTAAGGTCATTAAGGGAACTGTATTTCCACGCGATCGTTCGTACTGCTGATCTGTCACTGTTATTTATCTACTTGTAATCTCAATGTTTCTTTCGTTATGTCAGAATGATCTCACTTGACTATGTGTCTATAGAGAAAGTTCACCTCCATTGAATGTCTTGAAGAGAAATTGAAACTTGCTGCGTTAAAAATAAATGGAAACTCGATTGTTTTATTCTAAAGAACATTCGAAAAAATCTTGTTTACGTTTAAAGTATTCTTTATTATTATAATTTTCCGATAAAGATTTGGACAATGAATTGTGTTTTTTTTTTCATTGAAATTCATGTACTGATTGCAATGAAACCCATTTTATGCATGTTTGCCCTCGGCTAGGTAAGCACTTACACCGAAACAAGTGGAATGAATTAAATAATTGGTAGACAAAAATACGCAATGATCAACCGCTGATAATTGCAGCTGCAAGTGGTGTTTGCTCAGCATTGTTTTTATCTTTGACATCGGCGCCGTGTTCAACGTGAACTCCAGCGCTATCCGTTTGACCTGAATATTATGAATAAGTCAAAATAGGTAGGTTAGTTATCTTTTTTTGGTTGAAGAGAAAAAAATCGATCAATCGATGTGAATATTCGGAAGCTTACCTTTTTCAGCAGCTGGAAGCGGATTTTTTCTTTTATCCCATAACGATATCAATGGAATATTTTGTGCGATCAGATTTTCAATTCCCTTGGCATCATCTATATACAAATCGATAGAATATAGTTAAAAGAACTTTACCATGAACGAAGATAGAAATTCCTTACCATTTTCAGCTGCATCTTCATATCTAAGCGAAAAAGTACTCTTTGAATCTTCATAATTATCGCCTGATCACAAGAATAATAAATCAAGAAATCATCAAAATTGGGAAAAAAAATCAATTCGAAATATTTTCAACTACCTGTTGGCGAAGCAACAAAATCGGCTATTAGAAAAGCAAATGTGATCAGCGACAGCATCAAGAACGTCTTCATTTTGTAATTCTCTTTTGAGCCTAAATTTTAACAAGAAAAAAACAAATATTTATATCGAATTCACACGTTTTCTACAGTCGAAGAAAGCAGATTCGACAGATTGGTGCCACCGATTTAGTGGCAATCGTTCTTAAAAGAAGTAAAGTCACAAGAACTAACCGAACAGTACAATGTGCAAACTAAAACTGTGATCACGATCACTAACCGTCAACAACTGAAGCATCGATGACTGAGTCAACAAGTTTTATTTCGCTTTGACCACGAATATTCTTTTCAAAATGATTTCAATTAATTGAAAATTTCGTTCTGGTAGAATGATATGATCAACAATTTAAAGTTTATATTTTAGCGAGATAAAACCGTTTACCAAATTAGCATGCAGTTGGGAGAAAAATGTTTATAACGTTATTAATGACTAAATTTATTCAATGTCAACAAAAATCGATACGAATCATTTATTCTTATCTGAATGAAAATTCTGCAATCGGATATATCCAGCCAAAATTTAAGCAATGTTCAAATTAAATGTGATCACATCAATATTGTATCCAAAACGGTGCATCTTCTATGACTAAGTTCAATGGTCTATAGCTGTAATTCATTGAAAAACAAAATAAATACGCAGACGTTTGACACACATTGATCAACACGTTATAGGAAACATATATGGTTGTACTCAAATGTTGACACATTTGCTATCAGTTTGAATAAAATTTTGCGAATAACAGGCAAAACATAGCGAAGCCAACGCAAAAACAGCACTTAAATCCGTTACACGCAAATACCGGTTTCAAGTTCCTGTTTCTACGTACTTTGCCAAGATTTGCCTCTTATTCTCATCAGTCAATGACAGATAGCTGAGGATATATGCTGAGCATAGGAACTCAGCAAGCTGAGATTGGGACGTTTGGATTTTGTGACTTGCTATTCGTGCAAATTTATGTGGGATTTTGGAGAAGTGTTGATGGAGTGTAATGGGAATTGTTTTCTAAACTCCCCTCCATCATGAATTTGTTTGAATAGCGCGTCACAAAGTCAAAATATCCCAATCTCAGCTTGCTGAGTTTCTATGCTCAGCATATATCCTCAGCTATCTGTCATTGACTGAAGCTCAGATATATACACAAGTTTCAGTAAACAACTCATTTTTGTCACGAGAAGAAAACGTTTTTTTTGAATATGCTTGTAATTGAAAATGTTTTTTTTCGCTCTACTGTTTTTCAATCTTATTAGATCTGCGAGCGGATGTGAGCCAGAAAAGCCACATTCGACAACATCCGCTGTAGAGTCAAATTGACGATTCGTTTGACCTCAAATTTATCAATAAGCCTAATGAAATTCTTCACTTAAATAAAGCGTTCATTATCGCTGAAAAAATCAGTTTGAAAGACGACGTTAAGTCGGATGTTTTATGCTCCTTTCTATAAAAGGAACAAACACAATAAAAAAAAAATGAAGTTCACGATCATTCTGGTGTCGTTTTTTATTCATTTTTGTGATTCAAATGATTTCCAATGTGTTCATCTCACTGATACAATGGAATTGGCCGAGTTTTACTGTGAAAATTTCAACGAAACTCTGCCTGTGAATTGTTCAACCACGTATCTGTACTCCATTGGTCATTATGATAAATCAAAAGTGACACGATTGAAGATCGGTGGCTGTGACGAGGACAAAATCGCACAAATCATCGGTGACTTTCGAAATATATGTTCATTGGACATTTGTTGCTCCAATCTTCGATCATTGACTCCATTCGATGTAACACTCGAGCATTTGCGAGCATTCAACGCTTCGCATAATCAGCTAACTGAAGATCCAAGCGATATTTGGACAAAAATGCCCCATGTGATGGATGTTGATTTATCACACAATAATATTTCATACATACCTCATTATGATCCGATAGATCTTCCAAATTTGGAAATCATTGACTTGAGCCACAACAAACTAAAGAAAATTGATCATGATGATATATTCGGCAAGGTAAAACATTTGAAAATTTTACGACTGGATGATAATCGATATGAATATTTTGACGAAAATTTTCTACAGTTGCTGAAAAGAGATGTTGCGGTGCATATTTCATGGCAAAACGTGACTAATTTTAAAATAGAGGAAAACATTGGAAAACCAATTCGTGTTGTTTTAAATCAAACGGAGGGGATTTGGCCGTCATCCGATGGAAATCGCACTGAATTCCAGTGCCGTGAAGGAAGCTTCAAACAAATAGGCTTATTCGAAATTACGGACAACCACATTGAAAATCCAAGCGAAATGCTTCGTTGTTTGACACCATCACTTGGGCAACTTATATTAAATGGAAACTTTACCGAACATCTAAGTTCTACCTCACTTGAACCGTTCATTGATCTATGGGAATTGGCTATAACTGGTGCGCAGTCATTGGAATTCGATTTAAGTTCAATCAAAAATCGGAAGCATCTTTACGCTCTCGACATTTCGAGCAACAACTTGGAAGAAATTGGAAATGTTTCACTGTTGGAACAGTTCTCAATGATCAACTATTTTGGCGCAACCGAAAATCAACTGAAAAACGTACCCCAGCTAATCCAACACTTCAGAACAAAAATGATTAGACTACTCTTGAGTGGAAATCACGTTGGGCAATTGAATACGACCACATTCGAAAAGTTTGATGTATACGAATTGTATTTGCAAAACACAAATCTATCGTTTGACGATTTTCGGCCGTTTGAATCGCTCAAAAGTTTAATGAAACTCGACATTTCTTACAACAACTTAGAAGTGACAAATTTTTCAGTACCATCGACGGCTTTAAAGGCTCTCTTTTATTTCTCTGCTGCTTATTGTAACATTACAAACGCTTCGGAATTGATTGAACTTCTCGGGCCACGAATTTGGTTTCTCGATCTATCAGGAAACCATATTGGAACACTGAATGCCACCAAATTCGAGGACTTCATAAATCTGCAGACTCTGAATTTGAGCAGAACAAATTTGATCGAATTTGATTTCAGTGTATTAAGACACTCGCGCTATTATTCTGAGGCGGATTTTTCTCACAACAATTTGAAAAGGGTGACCATTACGTCAGCATCATCGAATTTGGGCATACTTTTCTTAAACGACAATGAATTGACGGAAGTTGAACCATTCACAACATTTAACTTTCCGAAATTGTGGAATTTGTCAATATCAAAGAACCAAATTACATGCACTGCCATGGCAGAACTTAAACGCAATTGGCCGAATTTGAAATTCGTTGGTAATCCCTTTGAACAAAAACATGGCGATTGCTCAAGTGTTGTTGAGCTGATAAATAACTTGGGTTTTGTTGGAACTTTCATTTCCAAGTGGTTTTGATATTTTTGTTTGATTGTAATGATTTTGAAATGAAATTTGAACAATTGTATAATGAATGAAATTGTTGTTTTGAAAATGGACCAGAGCCAAATAAAATGGAGCAAATACCAATAGAATTCCATTTTGTACTGAGATACACTTCAAATTTCAACATAAAATAAATACATCAAAGAAATTCTCATGTAAACGTTTGAAGATTTTAACGACAATTAATACATTTTTGAAACTCAAATTTGAATTGGCCTCAAGTAGACAGTTGACAGTTAATGTCAACTTTGAATTGTCACAAATGTCACTGGCCTGCTGTTAAGCTGCGTTTATCACATGTTTTCATACTCTTGTGAAATACATAGTCGGAATCGGAAGGTAAGTGCTCAACTATTTTATTTGATTGCAGTTTCAGAATGGAATTTCGGTGTGAACATTTTTTCGAGTTCTCAATTTTCTCATAAAGTGTTTGTCATTCCCTGACTTTCTATAGGAAATTTCAATTGCGGAAGTATCTACCGATAGTAACATTTGCATCGAATCAAATCAATCAAAATGAGTGAGAAGAACGATGACAATCAACACAGCCCAGAAACTGATAAGACAAAAGAAAGTGAAGCAAGTCATCAAAATGAACTTTCTGCAGCTCTGAATGCCATTAATCTAGGAACAAAAGTAGTACCGCCCATTTTCAATCTATGGATCGATTGTTTGGAAGAAATATTCGATTGGCTATCGATCAATGATATCCATTCATTTGGTCAAACCTGTACAAAGTTCTACCAAATTGTTGGCGTATATTTCAAATGGAAGTATAAGCGGGTGCTTGGTAATGTCTACGACGATTCAATGACTGTTAACTGGAAATATTTGAATGGATTCAATGAATTTGCCCAGCGATTGTCATTCTACAGCCGTGAGCCAGATCGATCGCTTCTCTTTGCCCTGGCAAATTGTAAATCGCCCAAAGAGATAAATATCGTCAACGCACATTTCAGTGAGCTTGATATTCAACCGTTCGAGAGCATGCTGAGTAAAATAGAAATCATGAGACTCAGTTGCCATTTGTCTGGTGAATTTTATGAATCATTTTTGGGACCCTGTGCAAATTTAAAGCGATTGAGAATCGATAAAAGTCCAAGCAATGGTTGGATGCGCAACAAATATCCAACACTTGAGCATTTGGAAGTATACGAATGTGATCCATCTCAAGATAATGACCTGAAAATATTCTTGGAACAAAATCCAAATGTACGGAGTTTATCGACCACAGCTGAACTTCTCCTAAGAAACCGAGTCATATTTATGGCCAGCAATTTTGGATTGGATGACTTGACAATCTTAAGAGTTGACGATATTGATTTGATTTCCATTGCCCTGATCGAGTTGCATCAACGAGGGTTTTACAAACGATTACACTTTAAAACCGATACAGCAAAACATTTGGATCAATTACTGGGACTTGCCACGCTACGCGTTTATAGGTACGAACGCATCAAAATGCCACATTTGCCCACGGTAAAAACACTCGTTTTTAAAGCAATTTGGAATGGACAATGTTCTTGGATGAATGACGTGTCAATGGCTTTGAATAACCTTGAACGCATTTTTACACCAAAAACAAGCACTGAATATATATTGCCATTCATTCAGAATTCGACGAAACTAAGAGAAATAACAATGGCAGGTTTACGCGGTGAGATCGATGTAGTGGCCATGAATAATGAACGTAAGAGATTGAAAATGGCACGCAAAGTGACAATATACCTCGAAGAAAAGGACTATCTGAAGCTTAAATGGAAGCACGCATGCACTGACTTTGGTTTGATCGAACTAAAACGAAATAAATCGTATGACGGCGTTTGGGATTACACTTTTGGATCCTATTACTAAAGTAGTGAAGTAAGAAAAAATTTCATTTTGGAACGATATTTTTTATGTTTACTATTTTTAGAGACTCAAAATAAATTGACCATGTATCTAATTTTCAAAATAAAATGATGTTTTTTCTTATTTTGATAAAATTTCTATTTCATAATTGTGAAAATATAATTGCATTCATAAATCATCATAGAAGTCTTGAGATTAGTTTGGAAAGAAGATGAAAACGCATGAATAACGTCCACAAAGAATAAAGAACATATGAGAACATTTAAAACTTGGAACAATGAACATTTTTAAAGGTTTTTTTTTTTCCAATTTTACCACTCAAAATGTGAACTAACCATAGGTGGCCAGTTGACAGTGAATGTCAAATTTGAAATGTAATGTCATTCAATTACGCCTACTTCATCGTATATTTTCATATCCTTGTGAAACACACAGTCGAGATCGGAAATAAGTTAATTTCATTTGATTTTCTCTGTTTTTATACAGAAATCTACCTAAAAACTGTTCCAATAAAATTGATTTCATTCGGCACATTGTATGATTTCAGGGGAATTTCATGCACTGTTGACAAGAAAACGGCACACAAGTTGCTTGCGGAAAAGTCGGTCTTTAGCAAACAAAATCAATTTCTATTTTTAACCACTGAGAAAAAAATTGAGACAATCTGATTACTGAGAAGAAAAAAAAATCGTAAAATGTCTGATCAGAACGCAGAATCAAATCAAGAGCGTAGACAAGGATTAATCGATGGGAGTGAAAAAGTCAAACGATCGACACCTGATGATGTCGCAGATAAAGAAACTTCAACGAAAAAGATCACCGATCTGAACTCATATTGTCTTGAGCACATTTTCAACTATTTGGAACTCCCAGATCTAGTGAATGTGGCCGACTCAAACAGTAAGTTAAGGTCAGACTGTGAATTACCATTTATAAGAAACTATCGGAGCAAAAAAGTGCAAATGATGAGATACGGTGGCTGGTCCACGCACTTAACATACAGCAATTGGTTCAGAATAGATACAAGCACCATTTCCATCCGGAATATGATAGCATGCCTAAAACTTTTGCGACACTTTGGTCATCTATTGACTAATTTGTCGATAAATTTCGACGAATCTATGCCGGCACATTGTGCTGAAGTAGAGCGCTACATCCATGATAATTGTGCCGAGTCGTTGGTTGAAATTGATTTCGGATACGCTCAGCAATCGACGTTTTCTACTATTAAAAAGCCGTTTTCAAAAATTGAAAAAGTAAGCTTTAGCGATTCTGAGTTGGGAAAAGAAATATGTGAATTCAACAAATGGTTCCCGAACATGCGTCATTTACATTTCAATATGTGTGACACAATTGCTGATTTGAGGTGCATTGAAAAACCGATTCCAAATTTGAAACATCTGGAGCTACACATAAATGGTTGTGATAAAGGATTTCAGAAATTAAACGTCTTGGAATGTCTACGCTTGAATCAAAATCTGCAAATTTTCGCCCTGTCAAACAGTTTTGATGGCACTTTTTTCGAACTTGCCAGCCGATACCTACAGAATCTACAACATCTTCAAATCAATACCAGCCAAGAAAGCTACTTTCATAATGTGGATTCGCGCATTCGTTTCGAGAACGTAAAATTTCTTTTCATTGTATCATCAAGAAATGAAATTATTCCGAAAATCCCATTCACTTACGGTCGTCTTGAAATGTTCAACATAATTGCTGGTGGAATTCAATCAAACGATGAGTTCTTCAGAAATCATTCACTGAAAAAATTGAAATTGGCAGCAAGATATTACTCCCAATCGTTTGAGATTATCGGTGAAAAGCTACAACTAGCTAAAGCATTGCCACAACTGACTGAATTCAGTGCCACATCCGTATTTTCCGTCGATGAAGCGATTGCTTTTGCTAACGAATGTCCGATGCTGAAACTCTTCGAGTTCAAACTTTCAACCCAATCTGAATATGATGATTTAGAGAGTCGATTCACACGGCATTCTGAGTGGAATGCATCTATTAAGCACCCGCTCATCATTCAGTTGCAACGATGCACTCTTCATCTTGATGAATAAATGTACTTTTTTTTTAATTTATAGAGATTTTTGTATTGAAACAATATATTTATGGAATTTTTCCCAAAGCTTATAAACATAAATTTATACAAAAATGAGGAGAAATTAAATGTTCAAACCAGTAAATTAAATTGTGTTTTTTTTCCTCATTTTTCCACATAGATTGCAACGATTGTATTATTATAAATTTGGTTTATATTCAAACGTGTTGAGCACCTTACTGCAAATGTGAACTAACCTTGAGTAGACAGTTGACAGTTAACGTCCATTTTGACATAATCAAATCATTTGTCAAATGTCATTAGCCTGATGTCTATTTGATCGCATTGTGAAATACACAGTCGAAATCAAAAGTAAGTGCTCAACTTTTGTGTTTAATTTCAATTCCAAAGGGCAAATTCTATCGGGAAATTGATAATAATCAATATATATTGAAGAAATTTTTGATTTTTGCTTTGCATTTCTTTTTCCTAATCACCTTTTGTTCATGTACACAAGTTCATCGTACACACATCATAAATATAAGCCTCTATTGTGTTCTGAAAACATACCATTGTTGGTGTAGTGGCTTTTAGACGTAATTTGAATTTCTAAGAATAGAAAATCTCCGTATTTATATAAAATTGTGTAAACAGCTGAATCAGCGGTTTTTTGGTGTATTTTCCACAAAATCAGATCAAAAGGATCGAAAGACATTTGTTTTTTTATGACCTAACCTAAATTTCGTACATTTTGCAGAAAATCTCTGAACAATGGATATTGGGTTAACGTTTGCAAAGTATGCTCTATTCCTTTTCAACTTATTGTTTGCCGTAAGTTTCTTTTCGAACTGTATATGTCAATCGATACAGTTTTTCCTTCAATATCCAAGCGAATAATTTTTTTTTCTCCAATTTTATAGGTGCTCGGCATAGCAATGGTTGTGATTGGAATTGGTGTGAGTGCAAAGCTTGTGGAATATGAGGATTTCATTGGTAAAATTTAAAACTATTCATCTCAATATTGGTTTTGGGTTGCTAAAATTCATTTTAAAATTGTCAGGAAACGATTTGATACCACACCCGATTGTCTTGATCGTTGTTGGCTGCGTTATGTTCTTCATCGCATATTTGGGCTGTTGCGGTGCTATCAAAGAGCAAACCGGCATGCTATGCTGTGTAAGTGTAAAGAATTGAAGCTTATGTTTCATTTTCTTCTGACTACCGTTTCTATTTTTGCTTAAATTGTTCACTCCGCCTGGTTCCAATAAAATGTTTTCAGTATTTATTCATGATGATAATTCTCGTTGGATTTGAAGTCGGACTCATTTGTGCCGCTTATTCGAAAAGAGATCAATGGGAGAGCATTGTCAATGAACAACTCAATTACACACTCCATCACGCTGATAAAGATCAATCGTTCTACGCATCTTGGAATATGTTGCAAACTAATGTGAGTTGATTGCTATCAGTTTCAATGTGATCATCACAATGCACACGATGAACCAAATTTACAAACTAAAAATGAATTTAATTTTTTTCGTTTTTCATCTAATAGTTGAAATGCTGCGGAATTGATGGTCCAAATGATTGGAATCATGTCTTACCCAATGACACCATACCCGGATCATGCTGTCAAAAAGCCGCCGACGATAAAACATGCACCATAACCGAAGCCATACAAACTGGATGTAAAACGGCTTTCATCGAATTTTTAAACAGTCACATTTTTACGGTGATTGGCTATGCGATCGCAGCTGTTGTACTTCAGGTAATTTATCGTAGGGAAAACAGGCTGTTCTGTTCTATGGATTAATGACATATACGGCGAGATTGTTTACTTTATAATTTACTCAATGTTGTCTTTCTTTCCTCCAAAGCTTCTGGCCATCGTATTCCCCTGTTGCTTATTTTCAGCAATCCGAAGAGATGAACGGCTCCCAAGAAGATGGCACCGCTTCTAAACCGTAGATCTATCTGTAGTACGTTCTATGGCTACGAGTTTAACACAAATACAATTTAACTAAATTTATTTGAATCCAATTGTATCTTTTTGAATCTAGTCAAAATGAATGATTGAATATTATATGTGATAAAATTAAGTGCCAGAATTGAGCCGAATTTTTCCGAATCTCTGTACTAATTAATATTGTGTCAACTCTCTAGTTCCATGATTACACACAACTCTTATTGTTTCACATCTACATAATCCACAACGGAATAAACGATCTTAGCCAGACCAAAAGAAAAAGTAAAATGGAACGACCAAACTCGATTTACATCGATGCAATATTGGTCTCGAAGCAGCCGTATTATTTGCTTAAATTTTTTTTTCGCCTATTTACAAAGAAATTAAGTAAGAGCTAATTATGTTTTATTACTAAAGAAAAACCTATGGTTGGTTAATTTTCCATAAGCAATACGAAAATGATCTACAAATTCAATTTTAACTTTATTTGACAAAAAAAAACGAGTTATTATTGAGACCAAATAAAACTCAGAAGTAACTTTTAATTGTTCCTTTATCAACTTGAAATAAAAAAAAAAACGACGAACCTTTCATGCTAAAAGCATTATTGAAAAAATATTTAACTCTCTATCACGTATTGGAGAAGATGTTTCTCTTTTATTTTTTTTTCCATCGAAGTTACTTTCAACAGAAAAAAGGCAAATTTTTATCGTATAATCAAGTATTCAAACAATCCTCTCATCGAATGGGTGCTACGACAACATTTTTTTCATTTTAACTACAATAATGATTATAATGCAAACCTGTTGAGCATCTTTTGAAGCATCTTTTTAATTCTTCCATTCAAATGTGAACCAATCTCAAAATGACAGGTGACAGTACCATTTGAGATGTCAAGAAAAAGTATGTATGGTTTCCTGTTGTTGATAAAAACTGTATTCATGAAATTGTGAATGCTTATTTGTTTTATTTCTGTGAATTTTTTTT